CCTAACCTACCTACCTACCTACCTACCTACCTACCTACCTACCTACCTACCTACCTACCTACCTACCTACCTACCTACCTACCTACCTACCTACCTACCTACCTACCTACCTACCTACCTACCTACCTACCTACCTACCTACCTACCTACCTACCTACCTACCTACCTACCTACCTACCTAACCCTAACCCTAACCCTAACCCTAACCCTAACCCTAACCCTAACCCTAACCCTAGCTGATGCCTCGTCAACCCTAACTGATGCCTCATCAACCCTAGCCCCACTCCATTCCTCCCCACCAACCACCACTCACTCCACTTGCCACTCACAGCCCCCTTGCCACCCCTACTTATCCCACCCATGACCTACATCTACATTCCCACCCACCCCACCATACTTATTCTCCACCGCACCATGCGCATGGCTGTGCATGGGCCTGAATTGAGTCTTTGATGCGGATTTACAATTTGCATCCCCCCATTGACACTTGCCCGTGTCACTCGTTCGTCCGAGTGGCATGTGCGGGTTGTTGGGTGACATGAATGTCATTCAATATTTTCATGATTCGCCAGTCGTCACTTGTTCGATTGTTTGACATTTAATTGATTGTTGTTGATCATTGTCAATTGATCATTCGATTTTTTCCGTTTCTTTTCTTGTTGGCCGACCATGTTCTTTGTTCTTTGCCGTTTATGTCTCTCATGCTTTGTAGTTGCTTTCGCCTGCCCTCATGTTCTGCTGTGGTTGCTCTTGCCTTTATGCTTGACCGTAATCGACATGCATTCTCATCGATCATTGCCTTTGCTCTTGTTGTTGCTTTGTATCATTATTCGTCATGCTTCATTTGTTCTTGACTCCCCTGTTTTCATCGACCTTGACTTCCACATCCACCATCGGGCCTGCTCACTACACTATCGATTCTCAACTTTGTTGTCGTTTGTCATGGTCAATAGTTGTGCATGCAATGTATTTCATGTTGACGCTGTTGCGTTGTGGTCATGGTTGATCTGCAGATCTGATCGATCAACCGCGCCTGCCTTATCGACCTGAACGTCACCCGAGTCCATCCCATTGCCTGCTAGCTTTGTCCAGTCTCTGTTGAATTACTCATACGTTTGCTGTGTAAGCCATGTATGATTTTTGGTTGTTGTTGTGGACGTCATTGCCTCGTTTGATGCTGGTTCCGGCTTTTCTTCAATTAATTCAACGTTCAACTCAATTAACGTCCGCCGCCTTCCCTCTGCCGGCCAAGTACCCGCCGCCCCTATCGCCCACACCCCACACACACCCACCAGCCGTATCATACTCACCGTCATCAATGCTCAAGCCCAATCGCCATACCCACTATCACTTCGCCCGTCCAGTCACCCACGTCACGACCCCCCTCATCCCCCCCTACCATACTCATTACGCCCCATCACCACAAACGACCACCCCCACCCCCTACCCGACCACCATGTCTTCCATTCCAGCCACAATTACCACGCCCATGCCATGGCCATGCCCACCACCATCCCATCGCGCACCCGCTTCCTCTTCCTCCTCCTCTTCCTCTCCCCGCTCCAACTCACCCTCATCCTCTACCCGGACCCCATCACTGCCACCGCCCAACCATCACATGCCTTACTGCCCATTCACCAACCAACGGCAATCTCAAGCCACCCAGCCTCGACCCCGCCCCCTCAGCTGACCCGCCTCGCTGACCACCAGCCGCCAGCCGTCGCCCGCTTGCCCGATGAGCCGACCTTCATCACCACCTAGCTCCCACCCACCACCAGCTACGCAACCCGCGACCACACCCAAGGTCATCACTCACCGTGCACTATTATCAGTACCAATATCGCTATCAGCGATACCCATCGACCTCGGCTCATTTCCGCGTAGACTTGTTTTGCCTAGGCGGTTGAGCACGCCCTCGACCGCACGACCCCGCACATGCCCCCCACCAACCTCATTACAAGATATGCCCAATATGATTTCACTACTACTCTACTACATACACACACTACCCCCATGCACAGTCTCCAATCCACAGCTGTAGTATTCCAGAATCCGAGCTCTGCCACCTGACGCTGTTGGCCCGGTGTCCCTTCGAAGGTGCTCAGCCCCCCGACCCAGGCCCATCTCCGACCCCACCCCCCATCATCTCCACCCACAACCACCACACTCACACCACACATACCCACCACCTCTACAACCTCACCCACCCATTCCCTGCCCGCCGATATTCACAAAAGCCGACACTATCCCGTCAACAGCATCGCTGCCGGCCGCCTGCTGCTCACCACCGATCGCCACCCGAGCCGACCCGTCCACCGCCGGCACAACCCCGATCAGGCTAGACAGAGCACGAGTTTTGATGATCTACCCGTGAATAGTGAGACAAGTGACAATGGCTATCAGTCCCTTACCCTACCTCCTCCTCCCCTCCTTCTCCTCGCCTTGCCCATCCTGCCCCAGCCCATCTGTCAACCAACCCAGCTGCTGGCCGGAGGACCGACAGGACAGACGAGGCCAGTGGGTTGGTCAGGGCGAGGGAGAGGGAGAAAGGGGAGGAAGAGTGGTATAAGGTGAGGTTGTTAACAAGACTACACTGGTCTGCCACCCGATCTTGTGTCCTGATGCCCGTGTCGTCGTCGCCTGTCACTGCTCACTGGCCAGCAACTCGCCGCTCGCTCGCCCGCCCGCTCAACCACTCACAGCCAAGCCAGATCAAGCCCGATCAAGCTCAGCACGACCTGCAGCTGGCTATACAGGGGGAGTAGCTGGTGGGGTCACAGGGATTGGAGGTGAGGGAGTGTAGATGGCTGGAGTGGGATGAGTGTGGTGGCTTTGGCTGCTGCTGGCGCTGCTGCTGTGGCCGAGCCCGAGGCGAGCAGTGAGCGATCGAGTCACGGCCAGCCACTCGTTGCTCAGCCACTCGCCGGCATGGGCGCCGTGCTGCTGCTGTGGCGAGAAGAGGAAGCCCAACCCCGAGGCGGCGATGACCAGGTTGGTGATTATGCTGATCCTGATGCTCATGGGGTGATGGGGGATGGCGATGGCTGGTGATGGGAGTGATGGTTGAGGTGGCAGCGTTCATGGTTGCGATCGCGGACGACGAGCTGAGGCGGTGACCGTTGCGGTGGTCTAGGCTGCGACTGCTGGGGAGAGAGAGGGAGGATGAGAGGGATGTGACGAGGGAGAGGGATGGATGATCCATACATCGCGAGCAAGCCAGATACTGCGGATCACCATCGGCGCCGGATCGCTGCCGGGCGGGGCCCAGTGGGCGACAGCCCAAACGTGCGAGCGCACAACCCAAGTTCGAGGCCGAGGTCGAGGATGAGGGCGCAAGATCGGGATCAGAAGGGCAAGCGCAAGCAGAAGTGCAAGAGGAAGGGACACAAATACTGTTGGCCTGATGCGGGGGACTGTTATCATCGTCGTCGCCACCACCTCCGCCGCCAGTCGCCAGCCCAGCCCACCCACTCCCCTTCACCGACATCGACACCAACTGACACCACCGCACCCATGACCACTGCCTAGCCTGATCCTGCTCTCTCTCTCTCTCTCTCTCTCTCTCTCCCTCCCCCACCTCGCCTCACATCCATAACTCCATCAGCTACGGCCGACTTGCTCTGCCTCGTCTCGTGCTCCTCCTGCCTGCTGCGCCTCTCAACAAACTGCGCCAAATCTGTGTGACGGCACTTCTCTCCAACTGCCGCCTCTCGCCTCCCCCACCGGCGGCCATGGCCGAGACCCCCGCCTCGCCCCACCCACCACCAGGCAGTGGCATCCACTTTGGCCGATACACCACCGTCAAGGAGCTTGGTCGCGGTGCCTTCTCCATTGTATACCTCGCCAAAGCCGTGCCTGCCAAGAACAGCAGCAGCTGCAGCAGCAGCAGCAGCAGCGGCAATGACGAGTGCGACAATGGCCAACCGCCATGTTCTCCCGCCCAACCGCTGGCCGTTGTCAAGGCCTTACAAGTCGGCAAGTACACCAGGAAGATGGTCCTTCACACCATGACAGAGGTCACCGTCCTCTCAGGCGTCTCTCATCCGTGTCTTGTTGGCTATGTCGAGTCGTTTGCCGCGGACGCCAGCACCGTTGTCATTGTCATGGAGCATGTCGCCGGTGGCGACTTGACCCATGCTGTCGATGCTCTTGCTCCGTCGCCGCAATCTTCCCCACCTCATCCTCCGCTCTCGCCCATTGCTGTGGTGGATGTTCTCGTGCAAACCGCTCTTGCACTGGCCTACATTCACTCGCGTGGCATTGTCCATCGCGACGTCAAGGCCGACAACGTCTTCCTCACCCCCGACGGCGGCATCAAGCTCGGCGACTTTGGGCTAGCCTTTGTGGCCTCGGACTCCGGCGACGACTCCCTCTCGCCATCAGCCTCAGACTCCGAGTCAACGCCCGGGCTCCGTGTTGTCCCCTCAGGCATGCTCGGCACGCCTCTTAATCTGGCTCCCGAGATCACGCAGGGCCTCGAGTATGGCGCCCCTGCCGATGTCTGGGCGCTTGGCTGCCTCCTCCACCAGCTCACCACTGGTCGTCCAGCATTTGTCGCCGACAACTTTCACCTTTTGCGCCGGGCGATCAACAAAGGCCCGACGCCGCGGCTGCCCAAGCCCCTTGCTCCGCTCCAGCCTGTTCTCGACGGCTGCCTCGCCAAGGATCCTACTGATCGGCTCTCGGCCGGCGAGCTCCTGATGCTGCCACTGATGGCGCACAGAGCCGCCGGTATGTTCCTCCTCTCCTTCTTTCCTACTCGAACGTCGACGCCGCTGCCGCTGCCGCCGCTGCCGCTGCCGGCCCTATGCCCATCACTCCTACTCCCGACGACGCCGCCCGCCTCCTCCGCTTGCACTCAGTCTACTCCGATTGGACCGAAGACTCACTGCCTCAGCTGGATGTGGTGACGTTGTCTATCCCGCTCAGCTCTGACGGCTGCACCACTCCTGAGCTCCTCTCGCCGCACCGCGCCGGCATGCCGCCGCTGTGCGGCTCGCGATCAAGCGATAGCCTCTGCTCGCCTGAACGCGCCTTTCGCCCGCTTGCCAAGCGCTACCGCGATCTGCGCCGCAAGGAGACTGGCAGCGATATCTTTTCCAGCGATGACTCGGCACGCAACTTCCGGCTGCGCTCCAACTCGATTGCGCAGGTCGACGTTCTTGTCCGCATGCGGAACAGTTCCGTCTCGGTCTCTGACTCTCCGCTCACCATCTCTACCATTCTTGCTGACAACGACGGCCAGGTCTCAGACGTCTCGGACATATCATTGCAAAGCGACTCGGACAACACATCGTCGGCGTCCTCCTCCTCCTCGTCGTCGTCGTCATCGTCCCCCTCGTCTCCCCGGGAACGTCCGCCTCCGGCCTCGCGGCCGCCTATGCCAACCGCTGACGCCGACTCGGACTCGGACTCATCCTCGCTCGACGAGTTTACCTTTGGCGGATGACGCCCTGTACAAACCATACAAGCCCACTGCGCCCCCCATGCCTCATCCCCAGTGACCGTGAGGCAGCAGCGCCTGCAGCATCTCGAACACTGCCGGCCCAAACCCTCCGGCGGCAAGGTCCAGTGCCCGCGCCTGCGCCTCCTTGATTTCGGTCAGCACAGCGTATGTGTCCTCCGCAAAGTCGGCCGCAATCGAGTCCTCGTTCGTGTCGCGGTTGTAGACAACAAGCACTGAGACCATGTCAAAGATGTCGTTGTGCGTTGCCAGCGTCGCCAGCACTGGATACGACGTCACCAGCTGGCCCACAAGCGCTGCAGCCTCGGCCATGATCGCCGCCGACCGCGTTGGGCAGAGGAACGGCGACGAGTCCCGGATGTGCTCCAGAATCGTCCGCGCGTACGGCTCAAACTCGCCCGGCACCGGCCCGCCCTCCGGCACTGCAAAGTGTACAATAGACCGCGCCGAGAAGAAGAACGCCTCCAGATTAGCAAAGTACGTGTACGAGTCGGCCACCGTCGTCCAGAACGGCGACTCGTAGTCCGCCAGCGGGCCCGAGAGCACCGCCCGCTTGGCCGCTGCCACCTTCTCCGCATGCGCCGCTGCCTCTGCTGCATGCTCCGCGCAGCACGAGCTCTCAAGCGACCGGTCCACCGGCGTGTCCGGCGCAGGCGCAGACTTGAGCACCCGGAGCACAAAGTTGAAAATCGTCTCCAACCGCCCGTTCTCCGTCATGTGGTCCGCCACAATAAACACCATGTCCGCCAGGCAGAGCGCAGCGATCGCCACCGACAGCGGCGAGTTGCACCCGCACATGTTCTCCGACTGTTCCGCAGTGAGGAGCGCACAAGCACCGGCGTGCGTGTGCTCCTCGCCGTGGGAAAGAAAGTGTTCGGCAGAGCTGATAATCCGCGAGACAACCTCGTCAAACTGCGGTGCGAGATGGTCCGCCGTGTGGTGAGCAAGCGAGCCGAGCAACTGCACGCACCGCTGCCAGACAGGATAGCACAGCTCCGGGAGGCCCGGGCCCGACAACGCGTCGACCACCCGTTCGCACACCGGCGCCAGCTCGCGCTCGAGGTCCGGCATCGACGACAGGATCGAGATGGCAAACGAGAACACGAGCGAGGCCTCGGCCTTGGCAATGTGCACCGAGTCGTTGATGTCGTCCTCCTCAAGAACGTCGGCCACATAGTCGACGAGGTCGCAGACCACATCGATGCTCCGTTGCGACTGCAACAGCAGCGGCACAATCGGCCCCAGCGCATGGAGCACAAAGGCTCGCACGTCAGCAAGCGGTGGCTCGTGCGCCGCAGAGCAGAACCGACACTTTCCGTTGCCGTCCGTGTTCGACATAAACTCGATCCGCCCCACCACGTGTGCAAATCGTGACCTGTGCGAAACCGGCGACGTCTCATCGGACATCCGCACCGCGGGAAGGTTGCCGCGGAAGAGCAGCGAAATGAGGTGCGCCGCCACACCTTCGATCTGTTCCACAACCGCCGGATCCACCACAAGCCGGTCTTCGACCGGGTCAAAGTACGGGTTCATCAGGTTCGAGTTCGACGACTCGAGCACCTCGTACCAGAGCGAAAACAGTGCCGATGCTGCTGCTGCTGCGTCAAACACGCGCATGTACGCCGCTTGTCGGATCGCCTCGTAGCCCTCGGGAACTGCAGGTGCTGCGCTGCCAAACGTACTGCTCATTGCTTGCACCGTTTCGCCCGAGACGCTCGCCACAAGTGCCAGCGCCCGCTCCAGCCGCTGCTCGGCAACGGTCGGCTCGAGCGCAGCGTCAAGCGCCGTCTCAAACGTCCGCGAGCTCGCTGATGACCCAGTGCCAGGCGTCAGCAGCGATTTAGGTGTCGCCACTCCGCCCGGTCTCGGTGTCGATGAGCTAGATGCCCCAGCTCTCGCCGCGCTCGCCTCATCCAACGCAGCTGAAAGCACCGACAGGTCGTCGATCGCCCGCGTCAGCGTCGCTGCCAGCTTGGTCTGCGTCACCTCCAGCAGCGGGAGTGGCGACGCAAACGAAATGGCCATGTTGATGAGAATGCCGCAGCAGTTGGACGAGACCAGCGCCTCGGTGTCATCCACTCGCGCAATGACCGCTTCCACCAGCTGCTCCTGAAGCTCCGGAAAGTCCGAGAGCGGCGTCTCGATCGACGAGGTCGAGAACGACGTCAGCAGCGGGACTGCGTTGGATATAAAGATGTTGGTCAGCGCCCATGCCGCCGTGTCGCGCACAACCGCTACTTCGTCCGACGCCAGCGCCTCGATCGCCATCCGCACCACCTTTGGGTACATCGGATGCCCACGCGGGAGCGGCTCCGGCTTCTGCCCGGTGCCCATGGCGTCAGTAATGGCGCCGAAAACCAGGAGTCCGACCTCGCGCGCCCGCCACTCGCTCGACGCAATGTTTCGGCCGCAAAGCCATAGATCGCGTCGATAACCGACGGCATAGTCGAGTGGAACGTGACTAGAATCTGCGAGAGCGACCGAATCGTCGGATCTGTCAGCTCGGTCGACGCAGCCTGGGCCTTCTTCACCTCGGCCACCACATATCCGCTCGCCTCCAGCGGGCGCGACATCAGCGAGTTGAACAGCAGCGGAAGCAGCGTGTTGCGGATAAAGATGCCGTACTTGGCCGCGTCCTCCACCCGCCCGCCCATCATCAGCGCGGCCAGCTTGCGCGGGTCCAGCGACGACGGGAGCCCGCTGGCGGACTCTCCGGCCTCGGAGCTCTCACCGCCGTCACGGAACTCGACCAGGGACGCCTCGTTGGCCGCCAGCAGCGCCAACGACGAGAACACATCCAGCGCAGCCAGCGCAACCTTGACCTCGTCGGACTTGATGCCCGCCATGGTTAGCTCCAGCAGCTCCGTCGCGTGCGTCTTGTATGCGTTACTGTAGATTCGCGGAAGAACCTTGCCAAAGGCACGGAAGCCCTCAACGTGCGCTGCTGCGCACGGCACCGTCAGAGACGCGCCAATCAGCCCCACCATCTCCGAGTTGGCGGTGTCAAACCGGGTGGCGAGCTCGCGCAGGGTGTCGCCATCGACATCGGCGTCAACATCCACCCGTGCCCGTCCTGGCCCGGTCGCGGCTTCCTTGGCGGCTTGCAGCTCGTGGAAAGAGTCGTGGTACATCACCAGATGCGCCTTCCACGCCGTCCGCCACGGCTTGGGCTCCACCACAAAGCGCCGCCAGTTGCGGCAGGTCCCGGCCGCCGCCAGCAACGAGCGCAAGTCGAGATGAAGAAAGATAGCCAGAACGAGCTCATCCGGCAGCGTCACGGCCTCCCCTTTGTCCGTCACAGCAAACAGCCTCGGCTCTTCCAGAGAGGCCACATCAATGACCGCCATGCCCTTCTTGCTGCTCTTCCGGCTCGTCTTGGCCACTTCGTCGCTCGCTCCTCCGGCAACTCCGCCGCTCTCGCTCAAGCCGCCGCTTCCTGACATTCGCCTTGTGCGGGGTATGGGTAGAGGTGGTTGGGTATGGGGTTGAGGGTGAAGTATGCCTACGTAACGTAAAGCACCTCCCTTGCCTCGCCCAACACCCCCCCCTCCCCTCCTCCCTGGCTCCCGTCGCCGGCCCACCCGTCCGAGGTCGCCCTCGGCAGGATGTCCGTGAACGACCAAAGTTCGTTCGTTCGCGGCTCACCGCCGCCACTCGCCGCCCGCCCCGCTCGCTCTGCTGCTGCACTCTCCCTCTCTCTCTCTCTCTCTCTCTCTCTGCCGGCAATTGACCACTTGCCACTCGCAACTCGGTAGCACGATTCAGGGTGGTGGTAATGCGTAATCCGTCTCCTCCCGTCCTCCATGATCATTGTCATCGGGGGGCGGCCGACGGTCAGCCGTCACTTTCTCTTTGCTCAGTACATGGTCTGCTTGGCCGCGGCTTGGGCTTTGGTCACCAGCTGGGCGATCTTGCTCTCGACATCGGTGGAGAGCTTGTGCTTGGTGGCAAACTGCATCGCGACTCGCCGCGGGTTCGCTGACGGGTAAACGGTGAGCGGGATGCTGAGACCGCATCCGACGTCGAGCTGGAGGACGCAGCACGGGCTCTCGTCGGGTGTCGCCCTGTCGTGCATGACCCCGCGCACATCCATTCGCCGGGTTGGCTGACCGCTGCCGCGCGTCTGCCGCCGGGTGGTGTCCAGCACTGCGCCGGCCTCTGCAATGTGAGACGCGAGTGCTGACGCATGCTGCGCCGGTAGCTGATGCCGGGTGGCAAAGAGCTCCGCAGCCCGGTCCGGATGCGCAAGCGTCTCGTGCGTAAGCCGGAGCGAGCTGGTCCCGCCGGACGGGAGCGGAACACGGAGCTCAGAGGCGACCGGTGCAGCAGCCAGGGCCGCTTTGCGAGCGCGGAGATGAGCCGCCACCTTCTCGACAATGAGCGTCGTGAGCGGCGTGACAAACGACCGCGGCAGCGCGTGCTGACGGATAAAGGCCTCAGCGGCCTCGCCCGCGTCGTCGTGCTCGTAGATCGGGAGGTCGCCCACCCGGCCGCTGCCGAGCTCCACCGCAATAATGAGCTGCGGCTCGCGCACCTCTGACTCGCCTTGGCTCCCGCTGGCGCGCCCTGACGATCGCAGTGTCGTGGCGGCATCGATTGACTTGACAAACTGCTTCGAGCCGCGGTCGAGCTCGTACCGCGCAACCCGCATTGTGCTATTAACACCCATGCTCGCCCTCGCGCTCGTCGGCGGCGGCGACGCCTGGTGGTGAACAGGCTGCACGCTCGGCGACGACAGGTCGCCAAGTGTGAGCGGCAGCGACGACGGCGCCGTGCCCGAGACCACCGACGGCGGAAGTGGCGTCCGAGGCTGTGGTGTTGCTGGGCCTGATGCTGCCGCCGCCGCAAACGTCATAGGCATGCTCGGTGGGTTGAGCGCCGAGAGCGCTGGAAGTGACGTCGACGGCGCGTGCGAAGGGTGGCTCACCGCTGGCTGCCGGGTCGGGCTGCGGACCGGCGGAGCGTGCGTCACAACCGGGGCGACTGGCTCGGCCTGCGCCGCCATCTCCGCCCGCACTGTGCTGACAGCAGTATCGATCTCGTCCAGGCCATAGCGAATGACTTGGGGTGCATGGACCGAAGCCGAGGCTGCGAGCGCCGGATCTAGCCGGAGCGGCGGCAGCGTGTCCGGGTGCAGCGCCATCTGCGGGTCTTCTGTCGGCCGTGCCGCGCTGCGTGCTGCCGGTGCCAGGACCCGGCGGTCGATCGTGTACTTGCGGGCAGTCGAGCCGATGCTTGCGGCATCGACCTTGGACGATATCGACGACGCACATCGCGGCTCGGGCCGCTTGATCATTGTCAGCGGGGTGGTGGTCACCGGTGTGATAAGCGTCGCCGTCTCTGATGGCAGCGGGCCCACATACGTCGGCAGAACCTTGGAAAGCATGTACTCGTTCGCCAGCAGCGCCATAGACTCGAGCAGTAGCGCCACGTTGTCGGTCCGCGGCACGCTCGTCGCTGCAGCCACCGTCTCGGCATCGGGGACCTCGATCTCGAAATAGTACATCGAGTTGGCATCGGCAACAGCACATGCCTCGTCGACCGCCACCTCACGCAGACCAGCCACCTGGCCCAGGCGAGCGATGGGGCGAGAGAGGCCAACAAGGAAGACCATCTGCGGGACAAGGTCGACAATGAGCCGCGACTTCCACATGCTCAGAGCGAAGAGGAACGAAGAACGCGATTCGATGTCATACGCCAGCACAACCACATGTTCCAACGGCAAATGCTCCGGCAGTACCAGCTCATCATGTGGGTTATCGCTCTTGTTCCTCCCCTGCCACATCACCATCTCCGTCTCGTCCACATGAGCCACAAACGGTCCAAACTCACTCGCTACCGGTGCGGAGAGGCCAGGCTCGGCGTCCGCCAGAGCGCGACACACTCTCATTCTCAGTCCATGGCTCTCACCGTACACCGCAACAGTCATTGTCCGCGCCATGGCCGCGTCTGCTTGTCACAGATACAATGATGTCGCGTGAGGTGCTCGCTGGCTGCCAATGTCGTACTCCTCGCTGCAGTTGACCGCCACTTTGGCGCGCCGCTTTTGGTGCCGCATCGCTCGGGACCAGATGGTGCCGTGGATCGAGCCGTGGCTCTTGCCATGGCTCCGATGGAGACTACCCCATGATGGTGGAGGGGAGGGGAGGGGAGGGGGTGGAGAGGTGTCGTGAGGAGGGAAAAGTTGGTTGCGTAGGACATGGGATGAGATTTGTAATGTTTGCATTAATTTGTTACGATCACAGATCGGTGCGTTTTCAGTGCTTTGGAAGGAAAGGCATGACGCGAGAGCGTGTACAACCGAGCAAGACACGCGTCAATCGGAGACAGACCATTTTCTATGCCTGCTATAGCCTGCCACACCACTTTCGCGTTCCGATGACCAGTTGGTGGTAAACTCCGGCCCGTTTGGGGGAGGGCGATGCGATAAGACTCGACTCTAGGAGCCTGGCTCGAGCACCACCCATGGCGGCTGCAGCAAGACCCCCTAGCTCTGGAACAACACTCACGGTTGCGCTTCTCGGCGATGTGGGCTCGGGCAAGACGTCAATGTTCAAGATGCTCACAACCGGAGCGCTTGATGGTGAACCCGAGCCCAAGTCTACGTTGGCCGCGATTGCAGTGCCCGGCGTTGGCAGGCTCGAGATCAGAGATACCGACGGCAGTGAGAAGGAATTCCGCCTGCCTCCTAGGCACCTACATGGAGTCAACGCCGTGGCTATCGTTTTCGATACCTCCAAGCCTGACGCGCTCGATGGGGTGGATGCCACATGGAGCGCGTTTCTCGAGTCAAACTCCGCCACTGATCTTGACGGCGTCTCGACCTTTCTCCTCGCCCATGTCCGCCACGGCATAGAGCTTGGTAGTAGCGAGCGCAAGGTGGCACAGATCATTGCTGCGCGGCTCGGTGCACGGCTGATCTCTGTCGACGCCGCAGACAAGCCTGGCCTGGTCGCAGCGTTCAACATGATCGCCGTCACTGCCGCCGCCCGCCGAACACGCGAACGCATCGGGGCCAAGAACCCCACTTCCAAGCTTAGCACTACACGCAAAGACTGTCGGCGGACCGGATGTTGCTGCCTCACGTGACCTTTGCGCCGAGTAGCTGTAGCCGCCGACCAAAAGCCGTAAAGGCTCAGTTCCATGGCCACTGCAATACCGCACACATCCTCTCTCGCCCATCGGATCGCAGCCTCCATGTCCTACATCGCATATGCAGACGGGATTACTCGTATTTGATGCGTTTCCGGTGCCGGCAACGACGGGTCGTCACACGCCGCTGCCGGCGGGATAGCAATATCGAAGCTTAGCTCCATGGCCGCTCCTGCTGGCTTCTTCGTGCGCCATCACCATCACCTCTCTTACCATGGCCGCCAGCAACACACACCTACAGCTGCCATTACTCAAGATCGTGCTTGTAGGCGACGCGGGGACCGGCAAGTCGTCCATCATCCGACAGGTGACGGAAAAGCGGCTGAGTGAGGTTCCGACACGTCTGGGCGTCGCTTTCGCCAACTTTACCATCGACAATCTTGCACGGCTGCAATTGTGGGACACCGCTGGGGCCGAGCGGTTCCCGAACGGCTTGTCGCGCCTTTTCTACCGTGCCGCAGATGCCGTCGTCATCGTCTTTGATGCCGCCAACGCCGACTCGCTCAAATCGATCGAGACGGTCTGGCGGCAGTCGCTGGAGGAACACAGCATGACCGATCTCGACGGCGTCTCGATCTTCATTCTTGCTCATACACGCTACGGTGTAGAGCTCTCCGATGACATGGCGACGACGGCACGGACGCTCGCTGAGGAGATGAACGCACGGCTGTTCACCTGCGACGCCGCCGACTTTGACGGCCTCGAAAAGATCTTCACCAAGATCGGCATCGCTGTTACCGCCCGATCCACACGTGAGCGCATCGGCGTCAAACGCCCTACCATCAGCATCGCCAAGAACGACTGTCGCCAGACTGGATGCTGCTGTGCGTGACGCGTCCGATACGCCGTGCCGCCCGCACCATCTCGACGCAACCGCACCATTTGCTCGCTTTCGCACAGCCCGCCAGCCCGCACCACCCACTCCACCCCACGCAGCCCTCGCCAGAAGTGGGCATGGCCTTTGCAGCCCTGCCCGACCTTCCTCCTGAGCTGCTACAACAAATTGCATTCGACTCTGGTGTGCTCGACCCCCCTGACGTGCTCGCGTTGGTGCTGACCTCCAAAGCGATAGCAGCCAAGATCGCTGGCACTGCCTTTGATGTCGATCTGTGGTGGTCACTCGCCGGTCCTCTCTTTGCTGTCCATCGACGGGCATGGCGGGCGGCACGGCTATCAATTTCGCCACGGCGAAAGAGGCGATGGCCTGATCATGTGGTCCAGGGCGCTCTGGTCGCCGCGCTGGCGCATCCTCGGAGCGTAGTCGACTCATGGGATGAGGACGAGTCGGATGCTTGGCAGGACGCCGTCTTGGCGCTTTCAGCCTCGCCTATCACCGTCGATGGCGTCGTGCCGGGCTCGGTGACGGCATTGCTCCGCTGGTACGGTATTCGGGTCATTCCGTGGTCGGTCACCGATCTGGCCGTCATCTGCGACCACGTGAACGTTGTCGCCGCCTTGGCGACCTCGGCCGACACAGCCAGCATCGCACGCTTGCTCCGCCGAGCCATGCGGTTTTCAGGAGCCGATGAGCAAATGGTGGAGCTCCTGCTTGGCCTTGCTGGTGCACACAATGTCGATCGCGGGGTGCTGGCGGCCGACGCCCGCGTGTGGGGCCGCAACGAGCTCGCCGCCCGCCTCGAGCAACAGTAGCCGCGCTCAGCGCTTGGCGCTCGCCCAGCGTAGCACATCCTCTTCCCCACGCACCTCAAGCAGCTCGAGCTCGTGGGTCGGCAGTGGAACGAGCGCCCGGCGCATTGTCTGTGCCATCGACCATATCCAGAGTGCGCGCGGCATGACCGGCGTTACGTCCTGGTCCGGCTCGAGCCCGCGACACACCATGCGGCCAAGCATGTTGTTGACAAGCGGAAACGGCGAGATCTTGACAACCTCATCTCGGCGCCAGCACCCAGGCACTGGCTGAAAGGCAATCAGGCCGCCATCAAACGCCGCCCGCCCACGAAAAGTAGTGGTCAGCGCCGGCGCCGAGAAGCCCGGCAGGTAGCAAGAGGCCGCAAGAGCATCGATGACGTCTTGCCTCGACTCAAACTCGCTCACCATCTCCACGTGCGGCTGCATTCGGCTCCGGCGGCCTTGCTCGTCGACTTGCTCCATAAATGCAACAGCGATGCTTGCCCGGGCGGTCATCATCTCCGCCACCTCGTCGCCGTCTGGTACCAGCAATTCGAGCTCGGTACGGACAACCTCATCCAGAGCCCAGACTGCGCGCGTTGGCCGTGCTGCCAGCTGAGCATTAACCTTGCTAATAGTCTCGCGCAGCAACTCGACCGGAATGTCACACGCGCCCGCCATCGCCGCCAGAGCTCCGCCCGATGCGCCGGCGAATCGCCAGCCGCGCTCGGCGTTCATCGCCTCGGCGCCGACAGACCTCAGCGCCGACAGCGCACCCAGAAAGTACGGCAATAGGAATCCCGAGCCCGAGAATGACGCGCCGCGTACTTGCCACATCTCTCTGCTGCCGTGCTATGTGTGAGAGAGTGGTGCTCGAGCTCGAACTCAGGCTCGGGCTCTTCACGAGAGACCGTTCTCCGGATCTGAGTCGAGTTTGCCCTTGGCAATCCCGCAACAGGCTCAACCGTCGACCATCCGCCACCGCTTCTGTCCGTACCACGACCAGCACCGCGATCCCGACACCCGATCCCGTCCGTCGCACCCATCGGGCTCAGCCGCCATACCACGCCGGATCCTGCTCCCGCTCTCGCTCTCGCTCTCGCTCGCGCTCCCGCACCCGCACCCGCACCCGCACCCGCTTCCGATGCCCCTCCGGATCCCACAACAACCTCGCCTCACATCTAATCCCCGTGATCGCACCCACCAACAACATCGCCATTGTTATCCATGGCATTGTCATGATGACAATTGGCGGCAGAGGCAACGACGCGTTCGGCGGCTTAACGATGACAGTCCGACTTCCGTCAGCCAAGTTGGGCAAGGAGAAACAGCTCACTTTACCCAAGCCCCACCTCCCGAAAGCCAAGCCCAAGGTTCAAGGTCATCCCCCCCCCCCCCCCCCTACCCTCCCCTTCATACCCCATACACTATGCTCCGTACTGGTCTTCTTGCACGTAGTGTGCCGTCTGTCCTCAACCGGATGTTGAGTAGCTCTGCTCGGTTGGCGAGTGCCCCCACTCCCCCACCGCTCTCCAGGTCACCGAGGACGAGAGCATGCTGAAGGAGGCAGGTACGTACCGCATCGAGTGAGTGATGTCTCATGCAATGGTGATGGTGATGATGATGATGATGGTGGTGGTGGTGGTGGTGGTGGTGGTGGTGGTGATCATGGACAATCGTCATGATGGTGAGGATCATGGTAACCATCATGGTGACAACCATCGTGGTAGCCATCATGGTGACAACCATCATGATGATCACGGTGACAGCCGTCATGATCACCCCCGCAGCCATCACCAACACACAGCCATCACCAACACACATACACTCACCTCACTCCCACACAGTCGCCCGTTTCGCTGCAGAGGAGGTCGCGCCCAAGGTGGCGGCCATGGAGGCCAACGAGGCGCTCGAGCCGGCGATCATCGACGGCATGTTTGAAATGGGCCTCATGGGCGTCGAGGTGCCCGAGGAGCACGGCGGCGCCGGCATGTCGTTCACCGCAGCCTGCCTCGCCATCGAGGAGCTGGCCAAGGTCGACGCCGGTGTCTCGGTCACTTGCGATGTGCAGAACACACTGGTGTGCAACACGTTCCTCAACTTTGCCTCGGACGAGATGAAGGCCGAGTACCTGCCGCGCCTGACGTCGGACACGCTCGCGGCGTTCTGCCTCTCCGAGGCGAGCTGTGGATCGGATGCGTTTGCACTCAAGACGACGGCCATTGCCGACGGCGACGACTACGTGCTCAACGGCGAGAAGATGTGGATCACCAACGCGAAGGAGGCCGGTCTCTTTGTTGTCTACGCCAACGTCAACCCGACCGCCGGCTACAAGGGCATCACCGCCTTTGTCGTCGAGCGCGACGCGCCAGGCCTCTCGGTCGGCAACACCATTCCCAAGCTCGGCCTCCGCTCCTCGTCGACCTGCCCGGTCGTCCTCGAAGATGTGCGTGTCTCCAAGTCCGCCATTCTCGGCGAGGAGGGTCTTGGCTACAAGTACTCGATCGAGACCCTCAACGAGGGCCGCATTGGCATCGCCGCCCAGATGGTCGGCATTGCCCAGGGTGCCTTCGATGCCGCCATGGAGTACGTCTTTGAGCGCAAGGCGTTTGGCAAGCCCGTCGGCGAGTTTGATTCGATGCGCGCCGAGTACGCTTCCATCTCGTGCCAGATCGCCGCCGCACGCCTCCTCACCTACGAGGCCGCCCGCCGCAAGGAGCATGGCCTGCCGTTTGTCAAGCACGCCGCGCAGGCAAAGTACGTGGCCGCGCAAGCTGCAGAGGCCACCACCTCCAAGGCCATCGAGTGGGCCGGCGGCGTCGGTTTTGCCCGCGAGTACCCGATGGAGAAGCGCTGGCGCGACTCCAAGATCGGTGCCATTTATGAGGGCACCAACCTTATCCAGCTGCAGACCATCGCAAAGCTCGTCGCCTCCGAGTACAAGTAGATGTAAAGTCCTCTGCGCAAGCCGCTGCTTCAGTTTACTTCTGCGACCGTGCTGCAGAGAGCTCGAGCTCAAGGTCGTTGACCCGCGCCTCAAACTCGATCGCACGGTCCTCCACCTCGTCGAGCTCGTCCTCCAGCTTGGTCAGTGCCTCTTCGTAGTCGGCAATCTTCTGCTTGGCCTCGTCAAGCTCAGCTTGCTTCTGCGCAAGCTCAGCTGCCATCTTGCCCGTGTCCGAGCTCGCCGCCGCCGCCAGCTGCGCCTCCAGTTCCGCCACCCGCGTCTGGAGCTGCTTGATCTCCACCGCCCGCCGCCCGACGCCGATGCCGTCGCAGCTGCCGTCGCCGCTGCCGTCGCCGCTGCCGCAGCGCCAGCCTCAGCCCCGTCATCATCGTCGTCGTCATCATCATCATCGTCGTCGTCATCATCATCGTCGTCGTCATCATCGTCATCATCGTCGTCATCGTCGTCATCGTCGGCGTCGGCGTCGGCAATGACCGCCCGCAGCTCGGCAACGGTCTCTTCCGACGCACACAGCTCCTCCTCGAGCCGCGCGATGACCTCGTCATAGCCCTCGAGCTTGGCCTCGGCGATGGCGCGGGCCTCGACAGCAGCAGCCAGCTCGGCCGCGCGTGCCTCCGAGTCCTCCTTCTCCTGCTCGGCGAGCCGACTCTCGAGCTGCTCGCCCTTGGCCACCGCCGCAGCCAGCTGCGACTTGGCCTCGGACAGCGCAGCCTCGAGCTCGGCGATACGCGCCGCCGCCGACTGGGCCTCGGCCTCGGCAGCTGCAAGCTTGTCGCGGGCGGCCTGCGCCTCGGCGGTCGCAGCCTCGAGCTTGGACGCCGTGGCGTCGGCTTCAGTCCGCAGCTCCTCGATGGTCGCGTTGAGTGCCTGGTTCGCCGCCAGCGCGTCGGCCAGCTGGCTTTCGCCCTCGCCCGCCGCCGCAGCCGTCGCAGCCTCGGCCGACTCGGCGCGCGCCACCGCAGATGCGAGCTGCCGCTCCAGTGAGGACTTTTCGTTCTCCACCACCGCCAGCTTGCCGCGGAGCTCGGTCGTCTGCGCCGCCGACTCGGTCGCCGCCGCAGACCCGGCCTGGGTCGCCGCCGCCAGCTGACCCTGAAGGTCCGCGTTGGATGCCGCCAGGTCCGCGTTGGTCGACTTGAGCGATGCCACCTCCTGCTTCAGCAGATCGAGCTCGGACATCATCACCTTGGCGCTCTCGTCGTGCTTCTCGGCCTGCTCCACAAGCGCCTCGGCCTTGCGCTGCGCTGCATCACGCTCGGCCTCGAGCTGCGAGTTGACCCGCGTCAGCGTCGCCAGCTCGGCCGCAGACGACTCGGCTGCCATGATGGCCGCTGCGGGGTTGACCGCAGCAACCTTCTTGACCGGCGCTGGTGCTGCGGCTGTCGCCGCTGCCGCATCCGGTGCAGAGGCTGCTGCCGCCGGACCAGCTGCCACAGCCTCCACCACGGTCGCCGGAGTGGTTGCTGTGACTGCTGCCGCCGGCTCCGTCGCCGCTGACGCCGACGCCGCAGCCGACTTCGCCGCAGACACAGGCGCCGTCGCCACAGCGTCGTCGGCCGCGGCAAGCGCCTTGAGCGACAAGATCGCCAGCTCGTGGTCCGAGCGCGCCAACTTGGCACCGTCGCCCATGCCGCCGAGCAGGATTAGCGTCTTGGTCTTGGGCACAAAGTCGAGCGTGGCGTAGGCACGGGCCGACGGGGCGTTGACCGCTCCGCGGAGCTCGGTCCACGACAGAGTGCGGAGGTCGAACCGCCACAGGTCACCAAACGTAGTCTCACCGTTGCTTCCGCCAAACATGTACACCTCCGAGCCAACGGTAGCACTGGCGGCGCCGAAGCGTGCTGTCGGCCAGGCGCCGCCCTCCGGCTTGGCGAGCTGAATCCACCGGGCTGCTGCGTAGTCAAGAAGCCACATGTCGTCGGTGGCGCCGTCGGCGGTCGCTCCGCCAAACACCACCATGTAGTCACCAAAGGCGTCGCCCTCGCCGCGGCGCTTCCGCTTGGCCGGCTTGACCGCTGGTGCCGAACCAGTCACGGCCTTGACCACGCTTGTCGTCACCTCGGCCGGGAGAGCAAACGCGACATGCGAGTGGCGCGGCGCAGGCGCCACATCACCAGCCATCTCGCACTCGACCCAGACCCGGCCAGCAGAGGCCAGATGCCGCTGCGACTCGGGGATGGCAAATGCCCAGAGAGCGTTCGAGCACGTTCCGTCGGCCATGAGGCCTCCGTACAGGACCATGTCTGACGAGAGGGTGGTGAACGAGGCGTTGGCGGTAGCAGGTGGCGGATCGGACGTGATCCGTGGCGCAGAGAAGGCGCCGGCATCGTGCCGGAGAACGGCGAGCGAGGCAGAGATCTCGCCGCTGTGGGTCATACCACCAAACACATACGTCTTGTTGCCCATGACAGCCACTGCAGCAGAATGAAACGGATCGGGACGGCGACCAACACCAGCAACTTTCTTCCACTTGCGGAGCGCGCCCGTAGTCAGCTGATGCATGGTGGCGGCGACAGCACCTTTGTCAGAAATTCCTCCCAAAACGTAAATGGAGCCGTCTTTGCCCGACACCAGCGTCGACTGGTGGGAGAGCGGGAAGGGCGAGCCTGCAATACGGAGTGTCTTCCATGACATAGTCGCCTTCTTTTACACCAAGATAAACAGTGAGAGTCAAGTGTGTCTCCTCCTCCTCGACGTACCACCTCCTGTCCAACCCGCACGCCGAAGCGTGACAGGTGCGAGTTCCGAAGAAAGCCGTCAAAACGTGCTTCAGCCTTTTACGCCACGAAATGGACAGGTTTGTCCATCGCGCAAGCCGCGCTCCGCGACGCTCCCCAGACGTCACACCGTCCATCAAATGCGGAAAAAGAGCAGTAGGATGTGCTAATGGCTGCCGCAACAGAAAACAGTCGCCGATGCAGAGATGGATGCCGCACGCGGCGCAAAGGTCCGCAGCCGCAATCGCTTGCCATGAAGCTTCCGGCAGGCGAGGCAGTCGCATCGCAAAGCGGCTTGCTGGGGAAAGTGGCGATGACAAGCAGTCGCTGCAAAGGGACGCTTCCGCTTGCGCGACGGCGCGGAGCTGACGGTGTCGGCGCTGGCGGCGAGGGCTCCGGTGACACGGTCGTCTCGGCAAGCAACGACGACGTCGTTGAGTCTGGAAGACGAGGGCAGGCTGCCAGGAAACGACACTCGATCGAGTCCTTCCACGAGAACAGCGAGATCATCGCCCACGTTGCACACAAGAGCGTCGCCGGGACGAGCGTCGGGCGGCAGGCCCCACGTGTGAGCCACGCATCGGGCGCGCCTCCCACCTCAAGCCGCAGGCCGAGCAGGCGTCGCGCAGCGTCGGCTGGTGACCTGGATGTCAACCATCATAGAGTTGTTCACTTTGAGACGCGCGACAACGCGTCCGAACAACCGTACCTCTTTAAATCAGTGAGGAGGGAAGCGCTATCCACGATGGTGTGTGTGTGTGTTAGCAGATGTGGCGGTGTTGGTGTTGATGGTTCGGGTGCGGTGGTTATCCACGACGGTGTGCGTGTGGATGGCGGGGAAACGATGGCGTTACCATCGGCGTGACGGGCGTAGCAAATGCTAAAGGCGAGGCTGCCGGTAGAGGCACCGCTCGTACGGGGGTGGCTGACAGCAGGGCCGCAACATTGCGCGAGTGCTCTGCGCGGATCGAGGCCTCCAAAGCCTCGGTCTGCGCTGCCGCCCCGCGCACCATCGCCGACTCGAGCGAGCCGATGAGCGCGTGCAAGTCCTCGCCACGTGACAAAGCGCGGTGCTTGCGCTTGCGCTTGCGCTTCTGACGGTGCTTGCCGCGACGCCGCGACGACGACGACGGTGCCGATGATGGCGCCGACGACGGTGCCTCCTGCTTGGATCGAGCTCTTTGGCGCTTGCTCTCCTTGGCCAGTGCCAGCTTGGAGAGCAAGTGCTCGACGTGCTCCCGCAGCCGGAGCGCCATCTCTGGACTGAGCCCTCGCGCCGACTGCAGCATCTTCACCCATCGCCTGTACTCGCGCTCGATCTTGTTCAGCGCCCGTCGATCATGACTGTGGCGGCGGGAGCGACCACCATGACTCCGCCCGCTCTTCCTCCGGTGCCTACGTCTGCCTCTTCTCTCTCCGTGACAGCCACGACGACCACGACGATGCCTCTTGCCGCTGTCACCCTCTTTTCCCTTGGCTGCACCTCGTCCACCATCAGCACAGCCATCCGCATCACCACTCTCGTCATCATCATCATCACCATCGTTGGAATCCAGCAGCCCAGCAGCTACCGACTCCATATCAACATCATGGCCACACGACCAATCACCATCTGCAGCCAGATTGTCCCACATATGTAACGAGCCTTTCCAACCATCATTCTCATCCAAACCACCACCACCACCACCACCATCATCATCATCATCATCATCATCATCATCATCATCATCATCAGTATCGTGGTCCGTCTCGAACATGGCCAAGTCATAGCCACTCTCGGAGCTCTCGAGCATTTGAGTCAACGTATGGACGCTGGTATCCATACAAGGCAAAGACCGCTCATCATCACTCGCCACCTGGACCGTGCTCCCAGTCTCACTCATGGCCCTTTTCTCGAAGCCCCCCTTGCTATTCTTCTCGCGCTCGACGTGCGTAGAGCCGAGTGGCGAGCGGTTCGGTGACAGTTGCCGCGACTGCTACGAGTCGCTAACACTCGCGGCCGGCTGAGCGATGCTGATCCTCGGCTTGAGCCTAACGTCTTCATTTCAGCATGTGTTCCCTTGCCGGCCTCCTCCTGCTGACTGGCTGGCTAGCTGGCTGGCTATGAGGAGTACTCAGAGCCCGAGTCCGAGTCTGAGCCCGACGAGCTGCTGCTGCTGCTGCTGCAGCTGCTGCTGCTCCTGTCGCTCCCGGTGGTGGTGCTGCCGGCAGAGCGGTCAAAGTCGTCCGAGTCGATGCCAACCTCTGTGGCCCAAAAGTCGTCGCCCTCATCTGAGCCGATCCAGCTGCAGACAATGTCGCGTGTGGCGGCGATCTTGGCCTGGACAACCGAGTCGCGCTTGGCACGAGCGCGGACGGCGGGGACGTCGGACATGAGGGCGCCGAAGAAAACAGCCTTGTCCTCAAAGACCGAAGTAGTCCCGTAGCCCATGAGGAAGCCACGAGGCGCTTTGTCGAGGTCGAACATGTCGCCACGAAACCGGGCTTGGCCGTAGCGGAACTTGCTCGGATTGAGCTGCTCCCACTCGGGATCGTCCCAGCCGGCGGCGTCGTCGACGGCGTCGACGAGGTGAAAGAGCTCGTGATGGATGGCGTGCTCAAGGTCGTCCTTGTTTGAGCCAGCATTGAAGAACATGGTCTTGATGGCTGGAACCGCCACGCCGTGGAAGCCCTGCGAGCCGGCGACTGCCAGCTTGTCCACAATCACGCAGTGCTTCATGACCTCTTCGTCACTCGAGCCAAAGAAAAAGTCGCTAGGGTACCGGGTGTACTCGGTGTACAGATACCGACACAGCTGCTCCTGCTTGTCCGGACGCGCCGGGAGGCCCGAGAAGAAGCCGGTCCGCAGCAACTGCGCGGGCATGCCAAAGTGAACCTGGAAGCCAAGCTCATCCGCGAGGATGAGAAACTTGCGCACAAAGGTGGTATGGCCGATGTCCGGCGCCACAAACGCCGCTGGCGACGGTCCGCCCGACTCACTCGCCTCCCCCTCCCCATTGCCATCGCCATTCTTGACGCCCTTCCGCGGCGGATGATGCGGCTCGCACTTGCCCTTCTTCAGCTCCTTACATGCCTTTTCTAGCAATCTCTCCGGGAAGATCTTCTCGAACGACTTGCCCGACTTGCCCGACTTGCCCGACTTGCCCGACTTGCCCGACTTGCCCAACTTGCCCTTGCTTGCCGACTTGCCCGACTTGCCCAACTTGCCCTTGCTTGCCGACTTGCCCGACTTGCCCGACTTGCCCTTGCTTGCCGACTTGCCCGACTTGCCCGACTTGCCCGACTTGAACGCCTTCCCCTTGCTCATCGATTTGATCGCCTTCCCCTTCCCCTTCCCCTTTCCCCTGCCCTTCCCCTTGCCCACAGCCTTCCGCCGCTCCGACTCCTTCACAGCCATTTCCGCCACCTTGGCATTCCACAGGCTATCCGCCTCGGCCGCCACCGAGCTCGAGCCAGAGTCGCCAGACGGCGTCGCCGAGTCTGAGCTCACACTACCGCCACCGTCATTGCTGCTGCTGCTGCTGCTGCTGCTGTTGCTGCTGTTGCTGCAAGTACTGCTCGACATGGCCATGTGCACAACAGCTCCTTCCTCGCCTTGTCGAGTGCGGTAGCTAGAGCTGAACGTGCACCGCCAGGTGCTCGGAATCGCCGCGTGGGTTCGACAGGCCTGCCGAGCCCCGGCGGCGTCAGGCTCGGCGATGCAACGGGATGGGAGGATGTGCCATTGGCGGAGATGTTCACGGTGTTCACTTAGGCGGCGGGAAGAGCTCGGCCGGCTTGATGACTTCTGGGGCAAGATCGGCAAAGTTGGCGAGGAGACGCGAGGCGGCCTCGATCTCCCACGGCGAGGGGACCGTAGACTCGCGGACCCACGGCATCGAGGCCATGTACGAGACAAAGGCCGAGTTCTCAGCCAGCTTGCGGGCGAGCTCGTCCGACGAGAGCGCGGCCGAGTGGACAAACTTGTTGCCGTCGGCGGCGGCGTCGCCGCTCCGCAGCGCGTCGACAAACGACGTGTCAAAGCCGAGGTTACCAAGGGCGGCGAGGTCGTCGAGGGCGGCGTCGAGGGTCCTGGCCTTCTTGGCCGGCGGCGGAGCGAGGTCGTCGCCGCCAGCCTCAGGCGCGCGCGCCCGCTTGTTGGTCACCATGTCGGTGACAGCTGCCTCGAGCCGTGCCAGACCGCCCGGCGCGACCGGACCCGGCGCGATGACGCTGACCGAGTCGGAGGCGCCGAGTGAGGCGTGGGTCGAGTCGTACGTCGGGCCGAGCGAGGTGGCCTCGGCGTGGAACATGACCGGCGTGTCGTAGATGGCGACCGGCGGGGTCGAGACGGTCCGCGACGTGACGTAGTGGGTGGCCGGGCGCGGATGAAGCGAGTTCGGCTCGACAATCGGGAGGCGGGCGCGGCCGTCGGCGGCGGCCTTGGCCGCGGCCGCCCGCGCCGCCTGTGCCGCCGGGTTGCTCGGGTGAGTGACAGCGAGGAGGGCGTTGATGACGCGGCGCTCGTGGTTACGGCGGGTCCGGGCAGCATGGTTTGACGACCGTGACGGCGGCGCGGGGGCAACCGAGCCCGAGCTTGCAGACGCCCGGTTGCGCTTGCGGTACGGGCCGCGCGGCTTGCGCTGGTGGCGGTTGAAGTACTTGATGCGGCCACCCAGGTTGTTACGGGTGTCGATGACCGAGAGGCGGGCGCCAAAGTCGACGACGTCGACGGTGCCAAGCCAGCGGTACGAGGTGTTGGACGCGACCTTGGAGCCAATGGCATCGACAAAGCCGGCTTCGTCGAGCTCTGCCGTGGGGCAGATGAGCTCGCCAGCCTTGCTCACGCCAGTAATCTTGCCGGGCTCGAGGAACATGCGGTGGACGGCGGTGGCCTTGCGGATCTTCTCGTCGAGGCCGTCGGGCTTGGACGGCTGCTCGCCGTACGAAAGCGGGCCCTTGGGGATGTGCAGGATCGAGCCAGAGCGCGCGACCGACGCGGCCGCAGCCTTGGCCGCCGCAGCCTTGGCCTTGGCCTCGGCCTCCTTGTCGTCGGCCGGCGCCTTGGCCTTGACCTTGGCCTCGTGGGTGGGGCAGAAGAACACGCCGCCGTCCTCAAAGAACGCGGCGTCCTTGCCGGAGCACGGCAGATGGTACGAGCGTTGGCAGGTGGTGGTGGTGCAGCCGAGAGTGGCGCCCTTGCCGGACGGGCAGTCGCTGAGGGCACACTTGATGAACCTGCCGCGCGAGACAGCCTTGATGAGGTTGAACCAAGTATCCGACGGCTCGTCGTAGAGCGTCTCAGGCGCACCGAACCGCGCGCAGTTGAGGTGGACGTACAGGTACTTGGCCTTGCCCGGCGCCACAAACGGCGGGTTGAGGAACGGGCCAGTCACGTCAGTCTCGACCGTCAGCCGGCACAGTGCGCACTTGATGGGCTTGTTCGTGTCAAGCTCGCCAGTGTATCGCGCGTCGCCGCCATGCGCCGGCGCCAGCGCTGTGCCGCCGCCTCCGCCGCTTGCCGTGTTCCGGCCGCCGGCGCCGCCCGCCGGATCGCCGCCGTTGGCCTCGGCCTCGAGAATGGCGCGGACGTCGTCGAGCTCGGCTTTGGTGAACTCGCCGTAGCGCGACTCGACCTCCCGGCGCCACATGACGAGCTCGTTCGAGAGGACGTCGATGTGGGGAATGGCAAGACGCATCTGTGCAAGGAGCAATGGCTTGGCCAGGCGAGCCTCCAGACGCAATGCAGCCTTGTGGTAGTAGCTCCCCTCCTCGTTGTACTTGATGCAGTTGGCCACAATGAGACGAAAGTCGAGCTCAAAGTGATGCAGCGAGGCGTACGAGCCCTTGACCAGCTTCTTCCGCATGGTAGAAAAGTCCATTGGCTTTGAAATAATCTCATCATAACGAGGAGCAAGAGCAGGATCGACCGGATGCCAGAACACACCATCACCATCGACCTTCATCATGGTCACCAGCAGCTCGCCGAGTACCTTTGCCAACTTTGCCTTGCGGAGCTTCTTCCTCGCCTTTTTCTCGCTCACACTCCGACTGGCTGCATTACTTCCACCACTCTTTCCCCCACCAGAGCCTCCACTTCCACCCGAACCAGCAGCACCTGATGTGGATGACCTTGCATCACCATCATTCACATCCGAACGTGTCCCAGGTCCCACACCGGCCACAAAGCTCCTCCGTCCACGACGAAGCTCCACAGAGTCAAGCGAAGAAGCAGGTGAGTATGACTCATCACGGTGCATACGCTTGCGGGTACGGGATCCCTTAGAACCCGACGTCCGGCTCATCCTCACAGAATTGCCTGTCTACGGGAGAGAGGAGTGGTTGTGGGTAGCTTGGAAGAGGGGGGGGGATTAGGTGGAAGCCAGGTGAATATGGCGGAGATTATCGAGAGATATATGGAGGTGGTGGTGAGGGGGGGGAGGGGAATGGGAGAGGGAGGGGGTTAGTGTGTGGTGGGGGGGGGGGGGGGATGGAGGTGGGCGAGTGGGGGTGGATGGGGCCTTGGCCTGCCCGTCCG